AGAGAGAGAGAGAGAGAGAGAGAGAGAGAGAGAGAGAGAGAGAGAGAACACAACATCTATGCCCTGCCTTCCTATGTTTTTGCTTTCTGTCCTTGATGGCACCAAAGAAGCAGGTAGAGGATTACCAAGCAAAGTGCTCACTCTGCCTTGGCCTTGCTTTCAGTTTCAACTTAGGAGGTCACATTACAGAGTGCACAATGGAGATGGGAGCTCTTTAGTTGACTATCCTGATGGCAACCCTATGACAATGTCTTTTCTCCAAATTATAGTTGGCAAATACAGTTCAGAAGATTACAGGCTGCTGTGCTTGTCAGTGCTGTAGTAATTTATGACATAGGAGACTGACATTTCTTATGGTCCCTCATGAGGCAGTTGAGATTTTCAAGTGTCCAGGAAAGCAAGTGTCTCATACATTTGTCAATGGAGACTAAAACTCTGGTGTCATATGACAATGGCAGGTGCTGCTCAAACATCCTGAGAGTAGAGATTTCTGGAGACTGCTGACGAAGGTGAACAATGTCTCAGTAACTGTCAATACTTTTTTTTTTGATAGAAACATGGCTATTTGTAGACAATCCTTATGACATCTGTTTCTTCCTCATAATTTTTTCTTAGCCAGGCTGGATTGGATATAAATTTACAACTATTCAATCACTGTGCTACCCTGGTGCTAGGATTATCTTTCTCAAAATCAAATCTGAGCCACATGAGAAAGCAATGCCTCAGACAATGCTGCTGCTGCTGCTGCTGCTGCTGCTGACTTTCATCTAGTATTCATCTAGTATTGGCCTTTTGTCTACTGCAAGCCCTCACCATGCTGTCTATACCACTTGTTTCTTTTCTCTTTGCTTCTAAGACATGTTATAATCCATCCTGCCTTTCTGCTATTTCTTCTTTGAAATGATGAAGTGGTTTTTTGTTTGTTTGTTTGTTTGTTTGTTTTTTGGCACCTGGTAAAATCCTGCCCACTGAACAGCTTTGCAGATAGAGACTCTCTCTGCTTCATGCGTATATCCAGCTGTTATAACAGACCTGTTCTCACCTCATTGAACTTACGCTCTTTTGGGGGTAAAGAGCTTTATTTTCACTGTAGGTCTTTAATATCACTTAGCTTACAATACTGAAATGTTTTTAAGGAATATATTCAGTAAGTTGCCCTATTCAATATATAGTTATATCATTTGCCCAAAGGGATTGGGTAGAATCAAATGAAACATTTATGGATAGATTGCTTGGCCCCTTCTAGCAATGGGCTTTGTAAGAGACTCACTTCGAATAAGCCAGTTTGCCAGGTTTGTAAAACAAGTTCTCAGGAAATAATGCAAGCAAACAGAAGCACTTCATTGCTGTCAGGTCAATTGTGTTATTCTTTATGGACTTGACACAATCCCTTCTTTTTCTATTTACTCCTTAGAAATGCAGTCCCAAAGTCATTGCCTTTGTAAAACATGGCAATGTACAATATATGCAGAAGTCTTACAAAATCCTTACACAGGGATTTATGTAGTTGTACTTGCAAATTAATAAATAAGGATTCTAGAACTCATGATTAACTAGTTGGACAGTTAGGACCACTGATATAATCTGTTGAGATACTGAATATTGGTTACGGATATTTCCTGACTCTTCACTCTGGAGGTTTGGTTAACTCATTTTACTCTATAATATACTAAGTGGAAAATGCACTACAGGACTCTGCCTTTCTTTTCTAACTCACTGTCTTCACCCCTGCCCTTAGGTCATCATTGGCAGTTCTAGTATAGCTGCAAACATCCAGAGCTTCAGACAAGGATTTTCTCTGTGCTGCCCCTGGTCCCATTGGCTTTCTTACCCTTACACATCCCTCATGTTCCAGCTCCATATCATCCCTGTATCTGTGCTTCAGAGTTCAGAGCAGATCTTAACTAACCATACTCTTCTTCCTGCACCTCTGAATTTCAGAGTCTCCCCTCAGATGCTTGGGTAGAAACAGCAACCCACAGGGCCTCTAAAGCTCCCTACCTGCTAACAGTCCCACTTTTTACGCTAGAGCATCATCACTGTCCACACAGGAACTTGAGGGGTAACAGGGTCAGAAGGAATCTCATGCCAGTCTCTCTTTCTCAGTTTTTCCTAGTCATGCAGTGGGCGTTCTCTCCAAACTATATTCTTGACATCAGCCAGGGTTGAAAATAGTTGGTAAGGAATTCTTTTTATATGTCCCAGCTTCAAGGTTACAAAATATTTTAAGTACACACATATTTCTAGAAATCACTTCAAATATGCAAAAAACTACATCTTACATTACCTTAAAGCTAGAGCATTTTTCACTGCACTGATTAATTTTAATGTGGCTTGTAACTATGCATCAGATTGTCACAGAAAAAGGGGTCTTTGACCTCTTCAGAAAAAGATAGCACAAGGCATAGTGTAGGCATTTGTGGAAAAACATCAAAGATATTAATTTATAGAAATGATATCAGCCCAAAATGGTCATACTTAAAATATAGCAACAAAAATTCTTTTATATTTTAACTTTTCAAAGTCCATCTGTTTTTCTCTTGCTATTTTAAAATGTAGGAAATACTTCTAGATAGAAAGTCATTGATGATTTCATATATATACCTCATATATTTTATTGGTCAAAATGAATATTTAAAGCTAATCCTAAGAACATATACCTTTATCAATTTATTTTGTTATAATTTTTTGGGGTTCTGCTTAATAATGTGATAAATATTTTAGAGAAAAATTAAATCAATGCAAGGAAAAAACCATGTAAGTTTTAAAAAATAAATTTGACACATCTAAATATTTTATACACAACTTAGTCAATATAACTAGTTACTCATTGAGATGATTAATAATTCACTTGGCAAATGAAATTCTGACATATTTTTCCCCTCTTAGCTGCAAAATAAACTGGGATAAATTGGAAGAACATGTTTAATTTGGGTCATACTGACAAATGCAATAACATCCATTTCCCTTTCTATGTGAAAGGATCTGATGGGAGTCTAAATTGAGAAGAAGCTCAGAAGTTATCTGGTCCAGATTTTCACTTGCTGTTGTGAGAAGGAGGCTACAGCAAGTGCCTGTGGTTGACGAGGGATGCAATTGGACTTCCTCCAAAGAATTACCAACTTTTGGGCTAAGACTTTTTCTGTTAATGATATTACAGAATCTTTATGCTAAGTCCAACACAAAGTGGATTTCACCATTTAGATTCAATATCATTAGAGCTTTCTGATGTTTCTCAAAGTATTTTTAATGAAAAACAAAGCCACCCTGATATCAATAACATTTTAGATTAACTTCTTAGGTAGAAATTTAGTTCAGCCAAACTTGAAAGTTATTATAGAAAAAAATTCTGGCCTACATCACTATCTTCACCATATGTTCTATGGCCTTTCTCTCTCTGTCACTAACTTGCTCTTTGTCTCTATGAGTCCATGGAGCCGGGGGTCTTCTCTCACTTCTCTATGGAGTTCAGAAACTGGGGTGGTCTGTGCTATGCAGTGCACAAGATTGCTCTCTCCATGTGCTCACTTACCATGAACACATGTAATAGTTAATATAACTAAAATGCAGGGATTGGACAGATAAGACATATTCATGTCTGTGAATGCCTATTGGGAACTAGTGAACATGTATGACGAAGGGTTGCAGATTTAACCTTAATAGCTGAGGAGACATTGATGAGCTTCCAGAAGCTACTATTTCTTAAGGAACAAGACAGACTCACTTGTTTCCTGTATTATAGTTATTGTTAACAATTTTTTAAAGAGGAGAGTAGCCTCTTTCTGTAGCAATATGACTCTTCAACACAACATGTAAACAGCAATGCTATCATTAAACTAATTTAGCAAGGGTAAAGTAACCAGACTCACACACAAATAAACAGCAGAATTCCTGCTAGATTTTGAAATGTTATTTTCACTTTATAGTAGAAAAAAGTAATTGTTTTAATGACATGAGATTTTTCTCTATGTTCTTCTTGATCTTTCATAGATGAATCATTTTTACATTTGAATCAAAACATGTAAAATTACTACACAAGAAGCAAAAGTATATAAACTTACAGCCCTGATGCTTTCAAAATGTCCACCTTCTTTCTCAAAATCTATAGGTTGTCCTTTTAGTGTCCAGTAGAAAGTGACATCCAAACTAGAGTCATGGATGGCTTTGCAGCTGAGGACAATGCTCTCTCCAACAGTTAACTCTGTTCTTTTAGGAGTAAGCTCTATCCTTGTGGGTTCTGTTGGAGTAAAAACACATGCATTAGTATAATCAACTCCATACACCTCATATCCCCCAAACTGGATGGAAACCTTAAACATGGAACTTGAACAGCTCTATAGATTTTGATTTTGTATCTTCAACTACATCATCAAAAACTGAAATACTAGGGTTTTGTATTTTGGGCAGCTGCATGTTTTATTATACTTTTCTAAAAGATTAATGATCTTAAACTTTCTATTCTTTTTAGTCTTGAACTTGAACAAAATGACAAGTGATTCTAAAACCAGAAGCAAGGACAAGACAGGTGGTTAGACAATGAAGAGCACTTGCTACTCTTGCAGATTTCTAGGTTCAATTCCAAGAACAGCTCATAACTGTAACACTGTTCTAGGGGATCTGACACCCTCTTCTGACAGCTATGGGTACCAGCTATGCCTATCGTACACATACACACATGTGGACAAAACATCTATACATGTAAAATAAAATGCAAAACAGCTAGAAGCAACACTTGGCCTCATGGGAAAAAAACACAAGGAAGGGGAAGCTAGAACTTCTCTGATCATCTTTATAGATATTTAAATAAAGGAACCTATACAATTAGAGATGTTATATGTATCAGGAGGCAGATGGCATGGGAAATTTGCTTTTTTAATGCATTATAGCTTAAACTTCAAGAACTCTCTCCCATACTATCTCAATAAGCTAAACATGTAATGTTACCACCTTGGACTTTCTTTTTGCTGAACCAAACCCTCTATGATCTGAGAAGGGGCAAAAGAGGCACTGTCTAATTATAAAATATCACTTTTGATACTTTGTATTTACATATATAAAACCTTTAAAAACTGAGTGGTCATGGTTTTAGTTCAGCAACAATATTCTAACTGCTTACTAGTAACAGTTGAATTTCAAAAACTGACATTTTCATGTGATTTTTATGGTCTTAGATGAACATTGAACAATGATATCTGTCATGCACTCAAGAATGAAAGTTAAATGACTGTGATACGATGTATCATCAATAAAGTAAGGCAGGGATGGAGGCAGGCTTTTGTTTTCTCGCTCCTATCCCCCTTAGAGGATAGTGTGGACAGGGAAAGACACAGACAAGCAGTTTATCAATGTACTTCATTTTCTACTATACTCTTCGAATTGTCAGAGGGCAGTCTCACAAGAGATCCCTGCTCCTGGCTACCTATGGGGTCTTTTCATGCCTAACACTCCTCAGAGCAGTTATGAGAAAAAAAAATACAAGTTGAGGGTAAGAGTGACACTTTGAAGATTCAGTGTGACCTCTTGAGGTCATACTGTGCTTGCGTCTCTAAATCGTGGCTTTGTCAGACAGGACAGGTAAACACAATGTGCTGTAGCTGAAGGATTGTGGGTACAGAGGATTTCTGAGAAACTTGATTTTCCACTTCATCTTCAGTTAAAAAAGACCATTTGACATTGATAAAATATTTGTGGATCCATCATTACTTTATCAGAAGATGGGAACCTTATCACAGGTGGGAACAGACAAAGACTGGGCCACTGGTTTGGATACCAGTATTGTTTAATGTTCATGGAGTTTTATAACTGAACGGTTTCAGTGCTGGGGTTACAAGTGAGAGCCATTGTTCCAAGCTCTGTTTCCCGTCTTTAAATGATTGAAGTGAAATTTTGTGTTAGTTCTGTGTTTCTGACAAACCTAAGCTATTCACACCAATCAATGCAAACACATGTATAAGCACATTGTCTTTACTTTTCTTTATTATTATTTTTCTGATGATAAGGCTAAGAAGCCAAAGCTGTAAAACATCAGGAATGTTGTCTGTTCTCTTACCTTTGACAGACAGAGTAGCTATAATCTCCGCAGAACCAAAGATGTTTACCCCTTGGCAAACGTACTTTCCCTCATCTGCTTTAGAAGCATTTAGGATCCGCAGGCTTCCGTCTGGAAGAATAGCTATTCTGAAAATTATTAAAAAAGGGTTTGTTCCCATTTCAATGCAAAGCAACTAAATGGCAAGAACTTCTGATGAAGTTCAAACCATCTCTCCTGTGAGAGATTATAAGCAGGAAGAAGGATTCCTGTTGAAAATAAGAAGTGATAGATATTTGCTACACATCACAATTGGTTGCAATAAACTCACTTAATATCTTCTTTTATCCAAAAGATGAAGAAACTTGCAAGTTACTTCTCTTGTAATAGTTTTTGACAGTTAATTTTAAAAGTGGCAGAGAAAGGTGAACTTGAATTTAGCCATTATAGTTTGATACTTTAATACCACCTAGCCATATTTTATTACCAAACTTATGTATTTCACCTTAAACCAAAGGTGACCTCAAAAATCAAATAGAAAAAGAAACAGGATAAAGACACATATGAGGACTTGTACAGACATAAAATCAACCAAATGCAGCCGAGCACTGATCAATGGCTGCCACAGCACCACACTGGGTGAAAGCCATGGAAATGTGGCCTGCTAACCAGGCTGTTCACACTGCACTTCCTAGTGTAGGAATGTGATAGCCCAGTCTGCAACTGGGCTCTTACATGACCTTTTGTGAAAGTGGACCTTCAGTTTTCTATAAGGGTGACAAATTAAGGCATTATTAAAAGTTTTAGAAGTTCAGTGCAAATGAGGTTGACATTTGCAATGACCACATTACCCTACGTATTTATCATTCCAGGAATTTATGCACTTCAGATTTAATTAGCATTTTGGTCATTTCTCCCCTTGCATGCTTGTGAAGTGTAACCCACTATTTCACCAGAATAGCAGCCTGCACAAGCTGCTTGAAGTGAGGAAGCAATCTTTGGGTTTTAGGGGATATGTTCTTAGTCTCTAGACACACTTCTTTAGCAATCAGGAAGTCACAGTCTGGCTGCAAGGGTAAGAAACAGTGGCATTAGTGAATCTAAACCCTTAGAATTAAGCCCTCAGGTTTCTGACAATCTCTTACTCCATGGTACTATCATAACCCTAACCTGTGATGAGTAAAGAAAAATGCCTGGACTTGGTTCTACTGAGCTACTTCATGTTTTTCTAGTGTATATGTTCAGTATGGCTTGTCACCCAGGGCTGACTGCTATCTAGAGCTTTGAACATCATAACAATTGATAAAAGATTCTAGGCTGTTAAAAGGTAGTGTCTAATGAATGTACACATTGCCATGGATAAAGACACCGGTTTAAACTCTATGATTTTAACTACAGCTCACTCTTGATTTGCAAGATGAAAGACTAAAGATCAACTCAGAATCAAGACAGACTACGAATGGAGAAGCCTGTCTTCTAGTTCATCTAGAGAGAGAGTACATGAGATCCATGGAAAATACAGAGCCTGTAAGCACCATGAAATCTACGGTGGGAGTGATGACTTAACAGTTAAAAACGCTTGCTGCACATGAAGAGGACCTGAGTTTAGTTCCTAGAAGCTCTGCGTGGAAGCCTGTAACTCTAGCTCCAAGAGAAATGAAGCCCTCTTTTGGCCGCCATGGTTACACACACGCACACGCACACGCACATACATGCACACACACGAACACACACACACATACACGCACACACACACACACACAGAGAGAGAGAGAGAGAGAGACTCACATGCACATAACTAAAGCTGAAATATTATTAAAGGTAATAAAATCCCTCACACATGAACATGCATTCATAATTAAAAGTAAAATAAAAATTTTAAGGTTATATAATCCACCAAGGCAGACAATGTAAAGCTATGTTTATTAATTGGGAAATGCTTATTTATTATCAAACAAGAAGATAGTGAACTTATTCCAGTATATCCCCACTAAATATATAGTAAAAATATATATTTGGAAGCAAAATTATACTTTTATATACATAACTCCATATTTTTGCATGAATTATAGACTGTTGACATTTAGGTTACTATAATTTTCACAGATGGTTAATATCTTGAAAATATTTAGATTTTACCAAGTTGGAAAAAAAAAGCGTAATATAACAGTGGAGAAACTTGGCTTCAAAGTTCATATGTTTTAAGAAAATACATGGATGTCAGATACTGGCAGTGTTTCAGCTCTTGATTTAAGACGAGTGTGATCCCATTGACAAAAGATACTCCGGTTCTCTTTCTCTTGCTGTGATAAATTACCCTGACAAAAATTAATTAAGTCATGGAAAAATGTTTACTTGAGCTCACAATTTTAGGTCACTGTCCATCATAGCACAGAGGTCAAGGCAGGACCTCAAAGGAGGTAGTTATATCCACACTCAAGAACAGAGAGAGGATGAATATATGCATCTCTGCCAGATTAGCTTGTATTGAACACTTCTACATCCCAGGATCCCTCTCCCTAAGGATTGGTGCTTCTCAACAATGGGCTGGGTCTTTATACATCAATTTACATAATTAAATAACCCCCACAGACATATTCAACCTGATCTAGAAAATTACTTGCTGAAGTTATTTTTTCAAGGTGATTCTAGATTATGTCAAGTTGATAATAAAATCAAACATCATATTAAGTAACAGATCTTTCTTTTAAAAGATGAGATATGAATATGCTTATATTTTGGGCCACTAGTCTATTAGGGAGAATGAAGGTTTTTGAATGCTATATTAATCCATTAAATAGCAGTGTCTGTCATTTAACTAAAATCTTATCTTCTGATTTAAAATGTAAATCTTCACCTGTTTTTTTCTAACTTGGAAAAGACAAAGCAGATAATGAATATGATTTATAATCATAATGTCTGGCAACCACACACATAATTACTTAGATAACTGAAGACTAAATTAATATTTCCAGCCTCATTATCTTCTCCTCTTTCTTGTCACTATTTGACTGCTACATTTTGGGATGTTCAGATTGGGGATTAATTGTGTTAAAACATCCCTGGACTTGGAGTTGGATAGCAAAGGGGTAGAGAGAAGCCAGCATATTACGTTGATGTGAAGCCCTACTAGCTCTGATTTCTAGATTCCATGAGTTGTGTTCTCACCTATAATTAATGACTGGGTCTCTGTGCTGTTAGTTTGCCCAATGCCCTAGGCTTTCAGCAGGCCTTTGGATCACAGGACATATGGTTAAGAACTTGATGTATGTGTTTACTTCCATGGTCAGTTCCATTTCCATGTTGGATCTCCTGTTGCACTTCTTCACTTACTGTTGATCTTTCCACATAAACTGTTTATCTCAGGAAGGAAACAATTTATTTTGATGCTGCCAAATTGTTTAGTGGCTGTGTCAATCATTTCTGTTGTACTGTCAAAGCCTCTGAGAGAATGAATTTAAAAGGAGGAGAGATTTAAATTGGCTCAGTGGAAGAGATTTTCCTCCATGGTTTTCTGGCTCCATTGCTTTGAACCTGAGGAAAGGCAGAACATAATGGAGGTGTATGTGAAATAGGAAACTTCAACTCCTAGAATACTAGTAAAGGATGGGCTAGGGACAAGATCTGCCAGATTAGAGTATTTCCTGAGTGACCTGCTTCCTCAAAGCTACGTACTGCCTCCTAGTTGCCTCCATGCCATAAAGACTGTACTAATAGTACTATTAAATTATAAATGCATCAATCTAGTCACGACACCGGCCTTTTCATGATGTGATAACCTCTTTGTAGTGTCAATACTTAAACAAGAGCTGTGGAGATGCCTGGTGTCTGACCCCTGACAGTGATTAGGCTTTCTGTGGTAAAGCATGATCTCCGTCCCACAGTCCCTGCCCTCCCCATTCTCCTTACCCCCTATTTCCCTGAATTTCTTCCTCTTCCTTTCTTTTGCTTTTCTCCCTCTGCTTTTGACATTTATTTTATTTTTAACACATTGCTATCTTTTTTCTATTGTTCTTTTATTGAAAATTGACTTTTGCATACACTGTATCCTGATTGCAGTTTCCCTCCCTCAACTCCTCTGATATTCTCCCCACCACCCCTCCTATCTACTCCTATCTACACCCACACTCTTTCTGCCTCTTCTGAGAAAGCATATGTGCATCCAAAGAACAATTACAAACTAAGATAAAACAAAACAGAAGAAAATAAGAGAATTTATTGGTTACAGTATCTGTGCATGGAAGAGAGAGAAAGAGAGGGGGGGGTATTTGGGGGTGTCTTCTTGTTCTGCTAAGGTCACAAATATAGTGTATTTGGACACTATCCTTTAGACTTCTTTGAGCTAATTCTCTCATAAATGTTATAGCTCAGATGTCCACATGGCAAGTATCTGTGGAGTACACGGCTGCACTGGTGGTTCTTCTTGCCTCTCTCCCCACATTCCTCAGTTAAATTTGTTGTCCTATTCCTCTTTAACACATGGCACCTTTGTAGGAAATGAGGGCATAATGGTGCAGGTGTCTCTCTCCATCAGGATGCTATTGTCTCTCTTCCCATCCCATTGCTGGGAACACACTGGTGAAGTTCTTAGGGACCAGTTTCCTGAGCAAAGCATAGAAATGGGAATAGGTCTGGATAAGAGAAGGGCACATCGTTAGAATATAGCACAATAGGTACAGATGGTGAAATGCAGTCCTATAACGTGGAAGTTTAGAGTAGAATGTGTACGTTGGAGAGTCAAACCTCATTTTACAAATTGAAAAACTCTAAATCAAGAAAATAAAAATGATGTGTGAGCCCATCAGTGACTAAATGAAGAAAAAGCTATCAAGGATTCCTATGTTCCTCGGCAGTAAGGGATTGTGACAGGTTTCTCTCGCTGCAGAGCACAGAACAAACTTGAAAGGAATGTACCTTCCTTTCAAGTCTACCTTAGTCATTTCCTCCTTTAGAACCTGAAGGATGGATTGCCTAGCTGGTTTCTCTGCTTAAAAAAGGCAAATGTTCAGTGGAATCCAGGTGTGGTCAAGGGAGGGTCCTACCCAGATACTAGGAAGAGCTGCTTATCAATCTCATTTCTAGTTTGAGAAGAATTCATGACTATACATATTGTTGTTTCCTTCCTGCTAGCTTTTAGCTGGGTGCTGCT